TGAGGGTGCACTCGATCCCCTCATCCAGATCATTGATAAAGATATTGAACAAGACCAGCCCCAGTACTGAGCCCTGGGGAACACCGCTCATGACCGGCCGCCAACTGGATGTAACTCCATTCACCACAAGTGAAGAAGGGACAGATCAGCAGAAGAGAGCATCCTGGGGATGCCAGATTGAACGCTGCCATCCTTTCCTCCAAGCCCGCGGGCTCAGCCTGTGCAGATAGGCCAGTACACTGCTGAGTGCCCTCCCTCATCACCTCCCGGCCCCGAGGTTTGCTGTACTGCCAGCACAGTGACAGGCAGAAAAGCAAAGTTCAGGGGTAGAAACCAAACGGACGAGGAGGAGCATGCACGGTTGGCACAGACCAGCAGGTTCGGTAACCGGGACCTTCCTAGGCCGGGCTCAGCAGCACTGCTTGTTCTCACCATTTTCAGAAACAAACGTTGCCGGTGAAAGGTGGCAGACGGATACCCCCGAGGACATCGTCCCAGCCCCCAGAGCCGTGCAGTGCCAGGTGTGGCAGCGCTGCTCCCTCCATCCCTGCGACAGACCTCGGCCCTCCTGCCTGTGAAGTGGAGATAACAAACCCTCCCTGCATCCACGGGGCTGGAGGGACCTCGCTATCTCCTAATGCTTGCAGAGCCCTTGGAGAGCCTCCAAAGCAAGGCGATACAGAAGCACAGGGTATTATTGCCATGGCTGCAGCACCCCACCGGGAGGGACCACCTCCGGAGGAGAGAGATGATGTCCTTGCTCTAGCTAATCCTCTGCCTCGCTGCTGGGCATGTAAACAAGGTGGCCAGCTAGGACTGGTCAAAAGAGTTCAGCTTAAATTGTTTTGCTTTTGCCATTTGAAAGATAGCTGGGCTTTCACGTGAAAGGGAAGGGTCTACCTTCCCTAGAAAAGTCTCAGTTTTCATTGGAAGACCTTGCACCCTGATTGCTACATAAGTTTGCAACCAGCAAAGAAAATATTTCCTTTAAAGCATGCTGTCACGCAGCTCCCAGCAGGATCTAGCCCAGCGCCTTCCTTTTCTGGTATGGCAGGAATTCCCTGAACAGATAACCCTCCCGCACTGCAAGTCTCCTGACCAAGGGGGAAGACGCCAATACGTGGTCCAGGAGACGTGCCTCCAATAGAGGGGGAAAGAGCGCAAGAGGCACTTAGACCTACGCCTCCGCCAAGCACTTCAGTAGCATTTCTTAGTGGAAGTACTTTGTATAGTTGGCCAGTACACTTTAGAGGTTTTATCTGCATGTTCTTCAGATGTTTTTGGGAAAGGATTAACATTTCCCATATCTAATAGCTCTAGTACTGATTTTTTTACCACTCAGCCAGCCAGCTATGAAACGCTAACCCACTTTGCACTGGCAACCAAGTGAAACATCTCCACAGCTTGTTCTTGGCACCTGGAAGGTCCCTCCAGCCTGCAGAGTACGCTGGAGATGGAGGTGCAGAGTTTATCAGCCTCAGAGAGGTTATCCTATTTACTTCTCCATCTGCAGGGCACGCGAGCAGGACTGCTTTTACTTGAGAATCTGGCATTTGTAGAAATTTCTTCTATTCTTTCTACTGGATGGCCTTCACCCTTTGAACAAAAGCCCTGTCTCCTTGCAGTCCCCTCATGGAGGTGAAGAATCTGCAGAGATCAGTGCCATGCGAGGGGGGGGACAGCTACCCATGGTGGGACCACGCCAGAGCCCAGCGAGCACAAAGGACACGTAACCGAAACCAAACTCAGAAGAAGAACAGAAACACCCCGCAGGCAGGTTCTGGGGTCAAGGGCTAACGGCTAGACGCTCAGCAGGACACCAGGCAGAGGACGGTCACCTCAGAAACCCCTCTGGGGTCGAGGGCTAACGGCTAGACGCTCAGCAGGACACCAGGCAGAGGACGGTCACCTCAGAAACCCCCTAAGTGGGTGGATGTCACTCAACCTGTGAGACGTGGAGGGACAGGGGAACAGGAACAGCCCAGCACACTGCCCACGTCCTCACCGGGACAACAGGGAGGTCCAAGGAGTCATCTTCTCGCCTTCAGTGGGCAGCAGCAGGGACAGGCACTCGCCCACTGCAGCAGCGTGTTCAAGGCACAGAATTACCTTGACAGCAGAAACGGGGCTGAGGTTCCTCCCTGGAACATGAAAGACCCCTACGAGAGGACAGAGGGGGGATTATGGTGGCTGGTACCTCTCCGTAGATGCAAAATAACAGTGGGGAAAGGGCCACCTCAAACCAAAGGCAAACCCGAGCGAGGCGCCTCTGCCCGTGCTCTCGCGCTGCCCGCAGTGCAGCAGACAGCTACTCCCCTTACCCGGCACGGTCTGCACTGAGTGTACGCACGGGTCTGTGGAGCTCCTCAGGACATCACAGACGTGGTAAATAGCTTTAATAATAGTTATTAAAAGATCACTGGGGCAAGGACTGTATTATTTAGGGTTTAGACAATGCCAATACTCCCAGCTGGAGCTAAATAAATAACAAGCAAAACAGCAATGATTACACCAGTCCTCACCTGGCAGATGCAACGGTCTCCTCCTGGTTAGCAAAGTCTGGGCTTCAAATGCTGTTTTCCCAAACTCCTTTTCCTTCCTGAAATAGGCACCAGAGACAGCGAGTGAATCAAAGGTACTCACCTTGTTCAGAGCCAAGCGAAAAGGGGTGAGAAAACACTGAGCGCAAGGAGAGAGGCGAAGGAGTGTTTCCCCACTGGAGCGGATCTCGTATACATGAGATTAGCAACAATTACAGGTTTAGGGCTCAAACTCAACACTTGGAAGTCATGGCTGTTAGTTTACATTTATCCTGTTTCACCGTCGTTCTGAGAGCCTCCTCACACACCAGGTTACCCATCCCAACAGGTTCCTTATTTACAGGACAGGATAAGCACCATCAGTCCAACCAAGCCATACCCTGGAGAGCGTCTGGGTGTTGAAGTGGAAGGACCATGAGTCTTCCTCTTAATGCCTGGTCTTCTTTTTTTTGTCAAATGTTCCAAACTCTTCTTTCTCCTGAAATGTCTTTGGGTTGTTGGGTTTTTTTTTGAAGGACGGGTGAAGCCTGTCAAATGTTTTTAGCTGCTCTTCCAGTGGCTAGAATAAGTCTATATTCAGATTAATTTATTGTTTTCTTTCTCCCTGTAGGTCAGTGCATCTTACTATCCCGCGTCAGGATCATTGGGGCACTCAGCAGCCATTGTCACTCTTCCCCATCTGCAGCACCACATATCAGCTTACATGTACGTAAGGAAACTGAAATACGTTGCGGGGGTCGTGTGATTTTCTGTACCTTCACCTGAGGCTTCTCCAGCCAACGGTTCTTGCGAGCTGGGAGGTAGAGGCAGACCAGAGGGCAGCTCCCGTGTGTTCGGATCCAAATGCAGATCCACGTAGGAATGTACTTGGCTGGTCTAAGCAGGGGGACACAGAGACTTATCACAGGTGAACTCAAAGATTAAATTTAGGAAAATCAAGGGATATAGAAGAATGTGGGTACACTACCGGAAACATTTGAGATAGATTCTGATCATTCCCTCATCCAAATTACTGTGCTCATCTTTTTAAATTATATTCCCAGCAGGTGAACCATACTTGCACCTTATTACCTCACTTAACTATTTATATATTTCTGCCCATTTATCAACAGTACATTTTAAATTTTTAAGTATAAAGAAACTAATTACTCCTTAAGTGCCTCTAGTTTATTTTAAGTAAGACAGTGATGGTCACTGGTGTTTTGAATGATCCAGTCTTTTAAAACTTTCCCGGAGTTAAAATTTGCAGATAATACATTGTGATGATTTTCCTCTAGATAAGATTCATCAGCCTGGCACTGTAGTAAGCTACCCAATAACAACAAAATAGCAACAAGCTGTCTACATGGTAATTAGCACCTCCACAGTATCGAGTCAGACCTGTGGAAACAGTACTACACGTGAGCAATATCTATAAATCTGTACTACGCTCATGACGTTTGCTACTTTCAGGCATTGGCATATGTCACCCACGACTATTGCACACACCTAATCCTAAGCACAAGAAAACTCCTAAGACCTTAAAATAATTTGCAGAATGAGGACTGTACTGAAGTGTCCGATCAGCTGCCTATTTTGCACAGCTCCTTTTTCAACCCTACGATATCAAACCAGTATCTGCATGTCCTGCCCTTCAGGATGAATCCTGTATAAAGTGATAAACCACTGCAGAATTAGAACACCCTTACACTGAACCTCGCCTGGTCTGTGCAAGTAACAGAAGGAGAAGTCACTTTATAGACAGGCGTTTCAAGTCAAACTTTCAAGTGATTGTTCGGAACAACAGGGAGAGAGAAACCTTTTTAAAAGTTATGGGATAGTCCTTGACTATCTAGAAAACTAGTCTGTTGTTTCTGTTTTTTAAATAATATCTGATAATTGCTGTATTTGTCTAACTCATTAATATTTGGGAGCAGATCACATTCCCCTTGGAAAAAAAACAACAACAATGCAATTAAATTAAATGTGTTAGACTGGAGACAAATTAAAGTTCTTTAAAGAACAAATAGGGGAAAGTTTTGAAAAATACGCTATTTTCTTTTGCTCCTGTTTTGCTGTGTGGTCACACATGGTTCACTGTGGAGAACAAAGCTTCATCACCTAGTCGTAGTCCCAGAATCACGACAGAGAGGTCTAGAGGGGATCGCAAATTAATTTCTAGTCTGGTTTCCTCGCTAGCCCAGAGCAGAGCCATGTACCTCCTCTTTTGTCCACTTTATTCTCAAAGGCCCCCAGTGGCAGCGACTGAAGTCCCAGTGTTAGTCTCTGCAGGGGTCCGGTCACAGGAGCACGAGGAAAGGGAGGGAGATGGGGTTAACACGCACATTGCTGTACGAGCAGTGCTCCTCCCCGTGCCTCCGAACACCTGCAGATGATGCTCAGGGCAAGCAGATGCAAGGCCTCTAGCTCACCACGTACTTCAAAGCCAGAATGTATTCTTGATGCTATCGATCGGACAGAGCATCGTACCTGCACTCTTTCATGCTGCTTTCCCTTCGGACAGGTACACATTAGCCCTTAATCGGTTATTTCAATGGAGCACTCACCGTGTGAGGTGGAGAACAGCAGCTTTCTCCTCCCTAACGCTTGTCTTGTCGCCCTTGGCTGGCCCTTCTGGGACAGAAACCATTGATGGGATCTGCTTTGTTCTCCATTCCTGTTGGCTCTTCTTTTATTCACATCCCCTTTGGCCTGAAGTTACAGGCAGTTTCTTCCCTGCGAGTTCTCTCCACAATAATGGCAGCACCCAAATATTTGATGCGAGTGCTGGTTGAAGAGGCTTCAGGCAAACAGCCGCCACTCACCCAAAGCCAGCAGCATCAGTTCTTCAGCACAGTTAAACCCAGGAGCTTCAGGATTCGCTCCAGCCATCCTGCATGGGGGCAGTTACCGCCCCGCAGGCTGCCTTCCCTCCCCCTCACACCCCCTTTCTCCCCAGGTGCGTGGCTCTCCATTCCTACATGGCTCACGGACCAGACGAGCTGGAGCTGCAGAAGGGAGAAGGGGTCCGCGTCTTTGGGAAAGACCACAACGGCTGGCTGCGGGGCATGTCCCTCGTCACGGGGAGAGTGGGGATCTTCCCCAGCAACTACGTCGCTCCCCTCTTCAGGTCTGGTTTTTCTTATGCGAAAAAAACATGCGGAGGGGGGAGCGGGTAACACGTAGGATTTAGGGTCTTCTCATTCCCGCAGAGAAATCACTGCAAGAGATTCCTGCAGTACTAACAAGGGCCAGGGGTTCCTCACCTGGGCGGGATGACACCTGGCAGCTCTCACTCCTTTTATTTCTCCGTGTACCGACTCGGCTGCACGCACAACGTGGCAATCGCATCTCCCTCCAACAGCCGGCTGCCACGGCAGGGAGAAGTCAGGGAGCGGAGGGGGCCAGCAGTGTTCCCCTCGGAGGGGGCACACAGGCCAGACGAGTGAACAGCGCAACATCAGCCTTCGTTCACTTGTTTTAAACCTGGGATGTCGACAGAGACATCAGCAGCTTCTCCCACAGCTGTTTAATTCAGTCCAGGAGCTTTGGCAGAGACCTGTAGGTGACACAGCCAGCACATTTTGATGAGTTAGTCTGGGAGCCAGGATGAACGGCAGCGTCTGTGCTCGGACTCGCCTTTATTCCTTTTGGATGACTCCAGTCTTTTTTTTTTCCTGCCAGAAGGGAAACCACAAGCTGAAGGCTCTTTTAGAGTCAAAATATTGTCTTTAGAGCAGGCATTTAAGCACTGGACACCATTGATCTAACTAGACAAACAGGCATTAGAAAGAGCAATAATTAAAATATACAATTTAGGAGAGAAAAAAAGATTGCTGTGCCCTTAGTTCCCCTGAGATACTCTCAGGTTAGGCAGAGAAACGAAGAACAGCTTAGAAATGTAGTGCTCTGCTTCTGCAAATAGAAAGTGGGGATAAGTCAGGACACCTCTCCCAGGACTGCGATTTCATTAATTGGAGCAGGGTTTCCATGGCTGGAAACTCACTGCGATGGTCCAGCCCCGTCTGCGGGAGCGGGGACAGGGGCAGATGGGCGCAGGGAGCTCTGCTCGGGGGGGCAGCTGCGGCCCGCGGGGATCGCCTCCACGCACACCCACCTGCCCGTGCCTCTGCGCAGGGTTAAAGGACTGCACCAAGGGAAGATCAGGGGCACCTCAGCCTCTGCTTCCCTGAAAGTCTTCTAGCAGCACATCAAAAATTCACCTTACGCTCCCAGATACTCCCGCTGCCATTTGGTTTCTCCCCCCCTCACTTCTCTTTCCCTGCTTATGCTTTATTCTGCCAAATTGCTCGGTTCAGACCAGAGGTCCCAGTGCTGCTTTCACCCCAGCACTGCCCCCCCTGCACCCTCCCCGCCTTCAAAAGCGCTGGTGATTAGTCTTTGTCTCTCCAGCTCATTTCTTCACCATATAGCCTCCGATGACACCATGGCCCCACCTCACCGATAAACAGAGCAAAGAAATAATCGAGAGCACAGCCCAGTCACCCTAAATAGCCTCATAAAGCACTTCAACCATAAGCGCTGGTTTTGGAGTTGCTATTCTATCCTCCTTAGGAAATTTCTTTATAATAAATTGATGCCCAAGTTATTTGATGAATCACTGCTCAGTTATTAAACCATGAATCATTCCTCCACACACACCCCCAAAAAGGTAAAGAAGAATCAGAGGAATGGGGTTTCCTTCCGTTAAGGAGTTAGCAAAAGGACCTCATCGTGGCCCACTCTCTCAAGGAATTTGGAGCGATATTTGGCTAGTGTGCTGGTGGGGAAGGTTGACAGGGCTTTGGCAATTTAGTGGCTTCAGGTGAAAACACGAAGATGACCTCCCTAGGGAAGGCAGGGGGGGAGGATAATCCAAAGTAGGTGCTGTGCACCAGAGACCAAACAGTGGAGGGGAAGCTAGACCCAGACGACAGGAGCACAAATACTGCCTCTGCCCGGTCCTTACGGACCTGCCCTGCCCCTGCGCTGAGAGATGCCTCTTACAGCTCAGGCTGAAGGTGCCGTCCAGCAGGGAAGGGGTAGGATAGGGGCAAATTACGGAGGGAGGGCTGGTGTCTGGAGGTCCCTTTTGAAATGCCATGGGTTACTGTAATGAATCCTAACGCTATTTGGGAATAATTTCTTATAAATCAGGTGCAAAAAGATGAAATCCTTCATTATAATGGAATCAGAAACCTGAACTAGCTGTATTGTCCATAGTGTTTCCTACCAAAGCCCTGACTTGGGAGCAGTGCAGGCGCATTAAAACCATCGAGTTTCCTCCTGGGCAAACTCCTGCCTTCCTTACAAAACCCCAAGTCTAGTCTGAGCTTATTTTCTTTTCCTTTTCAAACAGGAAATCTAGTCTCTCTGACTCGAAGATGCCTTCCCTGTACACCTCATGGACGCTGTCGACCTCCTCACTCTCCTCTCAAGGAAGCATCTCAGAAAACAGCCCGAGACAAAGCAGACCTTTGAAACCGGCACTGCTGCCCGTGCCTGTCACCTCAGCCGTGAGGACCACGGCCGCGGCGGCCCCGGGACAGGCATCGTTGCGGCGCGGACGCGGCAGCACAAGGAAGAGTAAGTGCTTAGGGGGGGTCTCTGGGAGGGAGAAGCCAGACGCATCTCCCCCAAACCATACTGGCTGCCTGCAGTCGGCACCATCCCCCCCCCACCAATGTGGGGTCCCGGAAGTGGCCCCAGGGACAATAAAAAAAAAAAAAAAAAAAAAAAGAGAAATGCACTGCACCAAGAGGCTAAGCACAACGCGAGCAGAGACCGGCCGTTCCCCGGGGCACTCACAGCATCTCCTCTCACCCACGGGCGAGCTGGGGGGCGGGCAGGCATCCCCGGCTGACACACCAGGTTTGCAGACATGGAGTGACCACGCTGTCGTGCAGCTGCATCCCCCTTGTGAAACGGGCTCTTGAGAAGGGTCTTTCCAAGGGGTCTCGTTACAGTCAGGCTGCAGCGCTGAGGACAGGCAGCATTATCCTGCCGCTGGGCAAGGGGCTGCACACGAAGGAAAATGTAGTTTGCTAGGTTGAGTGTAGCAAAGCCTGCCCCAGCCTCTGTGGATTAACCCTCCAGGCTGGCAGGGGAGGGGGGTGAAATGCCCAGGGCGGTTAATCCCCTGCAAAGGCAGAAATGCAGGGCTGGGGGCAATGCCAGCTGGCTCACCCATACCAACCGGCGCCGTGCCAGAGAGTGGCACAGCTCGCTTCTGGGGGAGCAGCTGATGACCGTGTCCTCAACAGGCACGTGAACGTGGCTCAAAAACCAAAAACATTTCAACAATAGAGTAAGGGAGGCCATTAGACATAAGAGTGTCCTTATGTGGCAAACAAAGAAAATGAAATACAAACTCCAGCAAGATAAACGTGAACTGTACCAAGACAATATTATCAGTCTCTAAAAGGGACTTCTGTAGTGATCTTGGAAAATGTAAATCAGCAAATCCAACCTTTGAAATCCACAACACCCAGCAACAGGGCGCTAAAACAGTAGCTGAAACGTCAATACACAGATACAGGGAGAAATAATCCCTAATTATACACGCACAACCTTGGGCCCTAAATTAGCTTTTGTCACCCTGGAGATAGATTTTGGAATTGTCACAGACGGCCTTGAGAGCTCCAACTCCATACTCAGAAGCAATTTTAAAAAGAGTTAATTTAGAGTATTATTAGGAATTATTAAGAAAGGAACTCAGAACAAGAGAGTAAAACTCAGCTGTGCCATTGGGGGAGTTTTGGCAAACTCATATCCTGAACACTTCATGTATTTCTGGTAACTCAAAAAGAATATAGTAAAATCAGGAAAAATATGCAGGAGGATGATCAAGAGAATAGAATAACTTCTATTTCAGGAGAAAAAAAATTCAGCTTGGAAATATCTGAGATGTATAAAATCATGAATAACCTAAAGGTGAGAAAGGATGCTACACAAAAAAAAAAAGAAGCAGGAGTTACCCAGTGAAATTGTGAAGTCAAAAGCCTTGATGTAGCAGAGAGCTAGAGGGAAAAAGCCTTCATATCAGCTCTATTTTTCTTCTCCTCCTTCGCAAAGATCCAATACGTGCTTCTCACTTGCACATCCCCGGGGCTGTAGGAAATACCCCTCCCAAGGATGGAGGGCAGGGAGAGGGAGCCTTAGTGAACACCTCCCAGGCAGAGGAGCCCGGGGTCCCACACCACTGGCTGTCCTCAGCTGTGATTATTTTGGTAATTTTAGTTTTTTGACTCCGCACAGAAAAACTCTTTGTGAAGGCTTAGCAGATCTCAGTTGGTTATACTCTTTCCAACGAGGCTGGCAAGGTTTATCTTCAGCCCATACATGCTGCTTTGGAGTACATTTCCAAGTGTATTTGGGCAACTAAGTGGTGTATTCTCCCATGCTTGCAGGCGGAGCTGCTGCTGGAGGCAGGCACTGCCCCTGGCAGGGGGGAGGCGCGTTTGCAAGGGCCACTGTCAGTGTTTTTAGACTCGAAATTGGATTTATCTTAAGAGAGTTGTTTTACTGTAAACGACTCATTCCCCTGTGGTGGCTCTGTTTAAAAAAAAAAAAACCATCTTGTGAATAGCAAGAAACTGCAGAAACTGCAGAAGAAATAAAGTGTGTGACTTCCCGCACCACAGGCAGGAAAGCAGCTACGGGATGGAGCAGCCAAAAAGGAACAACAAACAGCACAGGACGGCGAGGGCTGGAGGGAGGGCTCAGGAGCAGGGCTCCTGCTGGCGGTTCGTACCTTCAGCAAAGAAACCATGGGGAGGGAGAAAAGAGCACCCCGGGCCCCGTGAGGACCCCATCACGGGAGGTGTTCCCCAGGGTCTCTCTTGGGAGGTTTCTGCTCAGGGGGGTGATTTCTGCTCCCCAGCAGCGTCTGGTCCTACTCGCTCATCATGGTGCTTCCCCCACGCAGCCCCGCTGCCACCACTCCTTGCCACGGGAGCAGGGCAGGAAAATCCAACCACGTCGTGCTGACGCTGTGCAACCTGGTGTTACGGGTTAACGCACCAAGCGTTTGCACCAAGAGCATTTGCAGTCCAGGAGAAGGCAGGGCAAGCTCTCAGAAACCAGATCGGTCCTATCCAAGACAGAAAAATTTCTGTGGCATGAGTTGTGCAAATACATGGGGATTGAGGGTTTTGGTTTGTTGGCCTTGCCAGTGTCCAGCAGAGCGGCTGCCTGCCGAGGCAAGGCTATGGAGGCAGACGGCTTTACTGCACACCACTCCCAGTGCACGGAGGTAGGTGCGTGGCAATCCCTGGGAGCTACAACCCCACAGCATCCCTGCGAATGGGGCTGTTAGTGCAGGGCTGTAACCACTGCTCACTTCTGCCTCTCTGCTTTGTCTGTACCATTTTGGATTCCTGCTGACTTACCTCCTTCCAATGGTTCTTGCTCCCCAGATGGATCCCTGCAGAGGCCGGGGCAGGCGGGGACCCCCGTGCAGGTTGCCGGCTCCCTCAGGCGTCCTCCCACGGCTGCAGCACGACCTCAGCAGTTTCAGCTTTATCAGAACATCAGCCCCCAGCCGCACAGCATCCCTCCTGGAGCTGGCACGGCCGAGGCAGGAACAAGGCCAAACTTCTCCCACGATGCTTCACCGGCGCTTGTGGTCAGAGGAGGGGAAAGCAGAACTCCCTCTGTGTGCAGCTCGGTGATCCTGGATGCCAAAGACCCTCCAGCAAAGAGCGAGGCAGCTCCAAAGCCACCTGCATCAGCCCCGCCATCCATTCTGGTGAAACCAGACACCTCCCGCAACAGCACCGAAAAGGTACGGCCAGCGGTTACCTGCTGCTTCAGAGGGTCCCCCCAATCCTCTTGGGACTGGCATTCAGCGTCAGCCCAATACTGACCGGGGCCAAATCCCTTGAGGGCTTCACTCCACTCTCGACAGGTTTTCTTCTGATAGAAATCACTGGGATTGGTACCTGCATTAAGAAATCAGATATTTGTGTTGCAGAGTCTGCTGTTCAGATTAAGCCCTTTAGAAAGGCAAGATGCTGCATGGACTCTTTCAGTATAAACCAATGTTCAGTCATGATCAAATCTTGAGACTTTTCTGAGGTCTTAAATCAGGCAAGAATCCCACTGAGGTCCTTGAGAATTTGGGAGCGAATGAGCAAATGCCACAGACCTGGCTGTTAGACCGTATGTCAGGCTGGTCTCTACAGAGCTTCCCCCATCTCCCCTGCATTGCTTTGGCTGAGCCATTTGGAAAGGAAATTCCTTTCCCCTCTGGCAGCCAGAGGGGAATTTCATAAAGATAAAATAATTCTGCAAATTGTCCTAGTAATGACTTTTCCTTCCTGTGGCACCCAAAGAGTAAATTGCTCCATGAGTCCCAGAAAGCCCAACCAACCTTGGAGTTCCCAGGAGGAACATCATCAGCTGGAGAGAAACCACAGGCTCTCCGTGAGGGGTATGGCAGGACAGGCCACCATCTGTCCTCGTGTCGTGCTGCCACCTGCTCCTCCCCTCCGCTCTCTCCCACTAACTCGGGTGATGGCTCTCTGGACCGACTCTCCTAGGTCTCTGTGATAGCTGATGGCACTGCCAGCTGCACCACGCTGTGCCATTCCCTGGTGCTCTCTTCCACCTGCTATAAGCTGCACATCACACTGGGCTTCTCCACAGGCATCCTCTGCCCCTGGGAAGGAGCCAGCCGCCCCCTCAGCTCACCCTCCCGGTTCTCCAGGGCAGATCCCAGCAAGGAGGGCGGGTGGCTGCTCTTCCCACTGTGACTCTGGTCCCCTTCTCATTGCAGCAAGTGAAGACAGTGAGGTTCCAGAACCACAGCCCCCCGCCCCCCAAGCGGCACAGCCTGCAGCCCTCCCCGAGCCTGCCACGCAGCAAGACGGAGCCGGCGGCTGCGGTGGAGGCTCTCCTGCCAGAAGCCAGCCTGCCGGGCCCCGAGCTGGCGGTGCTCTACTCGCCCAGGACCAGCTCCAGCCCCCTGCACCAGCGACGGGCGCTGCACCCGAAGGCGCTGTCGCTGGACCTCTCCAGGCAGCTGACCTTCCCTGTCAAGAAGAACTACAGCAGCATTTCTGCAAACTGACAGGGTAACTCCTCCGCTTGCTTTCCCTCACGCGCCTGCTCCTCTCCTCCCTCCTGCGAGGGGCGAGCACCCCAGACCCCACACCAGCCTGCTGCCTCCACCGCTCTCCCTCCCGTGGCAAGGGGCAGGTATTCCCCATGTCCCTGCACCTCCACGCCGCCAGCACCCTCAGGACCTGCAAGTCTGAGGCTTGCAGAGAACAGGGGGAGATCCCAAAGGAGCAGGATGGGACAGGACAACATCTGTCCTGGCACAGGAGAGGCCTGGCCTGGCCCCTGCTGTGCCGAGCACGACTGGAGAAGCCCCACTGCCCCGGGGCTGCTGTGAGAGACGTGAACGGTGTTTGTGGCATCCACAAAACTGATGTTCTTTGGTGTCGTGTAAGGCTGCCTGTAAGGTACCGGAGAAGGAGCGGGAGGGGGAAGAAAGCGTGCAGGTATCAGAATTAGTTAAGCTTGTTTTGATCTCCTCACTGCTGCAGGAAAGCCCACAGAGATCAAAACACTGGTTCATTACCTTCCTGCTTCTGCCAGATAAAGAAACCATAAATCAAAATCAGTCAGTTCCTAGCTGATGGTTCATGTTGCCTTTTGAGGGGGATTCACTCAGATTTTTTGTTAGGTTGGTTGCTTGCTTGCTTTTCTGTTTTGTTTTAGTCCAGGAGTTTTAACACAGAATACAGTTTAAAAGGTGGTTTGGAGAGGAAAGAGACAATGGAAAGGGATGTGCCATTGCCACAGTCACTTAGACTCTGCAGACAGGGGTACTGAATCTTGCTTCTCCTCATTGCTTGGTTTCCTCTAATTACCTGTCAGGTACCTCCTAGCGGTCCACGAGCTCACTCCAACTCCTTCCCACCACCCACCCATTCAGATATTGCTTTTGTAAATATCCTAAGTGGAATTCATGGGTTTAAGTCTACATTAAGATGCATGAAACATTGCCTACATAATAGAAAGCAGAATTCAGCATTCACCATGCCACAGACCACCCCTCTGCCACAGCAGCACCAGCTCCAGTTTTCAGCTGACCCCATTTCAAGTATCCTCCTGTGCATCCACAGAAAAGCAGGCACAGCCAGAGAGCTGTGCCCAGTTCACCAGCTGGGACTGCTCTCCAGCAAACCCGTGCACAACAGCTTTTGTTTTTCATACTTTGTTTTTGTTGCTTGTTTATAGACCAGCAATTCCCATCCTAGCCACAACCACCGACCGCTAGATCTCCTAACAGTGGTAGCTGTGCTTCATCCAAAACTGCTGTAAAATCACATCCTTGGTTAATTGCATACAAAACCCATAAAATTAACTCCACTGGTCAACGGAAACTCTCCGAGGTACTGGCACAGCCTCAGAGAAGGACGTTTTCTTCTGGAACTAAGAAAAGGGAATGGATAAAATCATTTACTAGTCTACAGCACCTGTTCTTTTACTCTTTCAGACTTTTTCTGTTTGTGGAGCAGGAAGCTGGCATCTGCCTGCAGGGATTTTCAGTAGCACAGAAACCACCAATGGCACAGATAAGTTCTTCACCTTGTGCTCTCTGTCACTAAGCTCCTGTAGAAAAATCCTGACAAACTGAAAACGTGCAGTTTTCCCAGGTATAAAAGGTGGCGCAAGCTGCAAATAAGAGGGTGAACATGACTCTCAGCAATGCCACCTCAAAGACAGTTGAACATCTCAGAGAAGACATGGCAGTTCTTTGCTGAAGACTCCTCTCATCCCTTTAAAACTAAACCAGAAAACCTCATAAGCTGACTCTATAACCAAGAACACCTCCGCTTCTCCCAAGCACATTCAGAAATAAATAGAATTGCATTAGGTATGCCCAGGACCAGCTCAGGTAGTAATTTATAAGTGTTGGTTTGGATGGGAAGGAGGGGCTGCCTGCTCACGCCTGGCTCCAGATGTGATCACTTACTGCATGCTAATGAGAGGATAGACAGCTTGGTATGACCTGATCTGTAATCTGCTGACGAAGCATCTAATGCATTTCAACAGCTGACCTCCCATGAGACTCACAGAAGACGGTGGCATGGGTGGTTGGAGCTACACGAGAATTAATTATGCAGATGGAAATGCTGGCAGAGGAGGAGGAGTAGGAAACGTGAAGCCCAGTTGAATACTTGGCAGGGATGGTGTGTGTAGGTGTTGTGGTTTAACCCCGGCCAGCAACTAAGCCCCACACAGCCGCTCGCTCACTCCCCCCCGGTGAGATGGGGGAGAGAATCGGATGAGTAAAAGTGAGAAATCTCGTGGGTTGAGATAAAGACAGGTTAACAGGTAAAGCAAAAGCCGCACGCACAAGCAAAGCAAAACAAGGGATCAATTCACTCCTTCCCATCGGCAGGCAGGTGTTCAGCCATCTCCAGGACAGCAGGGCTCCATCACGCATAACGGTGACTTGGGAAGACAAAACACCACCACTCCGAACGTCCCCCCTTCCTCCTTCTTCCCCCAGCTTTATATGCTGAGCATGATGCCATATGGTGTGGGATATCCCTTGGGTCAGTTGGGGTCAGCTGTCCCGGCCGTGTCCCCTCCCAACTTCTTGTGCCCCCCAGCCCACTTGCTGGTGGGGTGGGGTGAGGAGCAGAAAAGGCCTTGACTCTGTGTAAGCGCTGCTCAGCAGTAACGAAAACATCCCTGTATTTGTCAACGCGTTTCCAGCACAAATCCAAAACATCGCCTCATACTAGCTACTATGGAGAAAATTAACTCTACCCCAGTAGGGAAGGAAGGGGAACTTCTGCATTTTACTGGCCCCCAAAACCAGTGTCCTCATCTCATGCCAATATAACAGAGCCAAGGTCTAACGGGGCTGCCTTGGTCGTAGTGTTTCCCGAGCAGGGTGACGCGGCTGGGAGCAGGCTGGGCTGTGCTCTGGGAAGGGGGACAGGCCGATCCCTGCGCACGCACCGCCGCTGATGCAGATCCCAAGGTTTTACACTCTACAGCGAGGGGCAGCCGCGAGCCCCCCGGCTCCAGCAGAGCTCAGTGTCCCCAGAGAGCCGGGAACGAGATGATGAACCAGGGACTCTGCAGTGGTGCCGATCGAAGATCTTCCCTTGTTATCGGCAATTAACCCTGCCCTGCAAGACCCCAGTGCCTGTTGAGTCAGGAGCTCAGAAGGAGCATTCCTCGAGACCAGGGAGCACATCAATAACTGCTGATGCTCAGGAGGGAGCTCACTGCCATCTGCATGCAGAGAGGCATTTGAAGATGAGGGGCAAAAAGAAAACAACGAACCATAACTCACCGGGGGCTTCAGACAGATGTACATTGAAGTCAGTCACCTTGTAAATTTAATCTACAAGTGGGGCAGGTTTTCCCACGAGAGGCAGGCGTGCAAGGCCAGGCAGCAAGGAAGAATTTGAAGTTCAGTTTGGGGCTGCAGAATGAAAAGCTCAGAGCAACAGACAGAAGTGACTGCAGCTCTGTTTCTCACGCCTCAGTCCTGCCACCAAAGCCCAGATACGAGGAAAGACAGCACCTCCTTTGGCCCGATTTATCAGATGCACTAAGTTTCAGGGGACACCAAGAGCATCAAGAAAAGCCAGAGGTGCTCAGCATGCCTTAAGACTTAACAAGCCATAAAGTCTTTCTGCACATCTGGGCTCACAACAGCCAGATACCACTCACATTATCAGTTCAGAATATTGCCTTTCATGGAACAAAACCACCCTTTTATATCAAGATAAACAGCAATAAGGTTTCACAGCAGTCATGCACACAGGGAAGTCTGCAAAAGCATTCAGCCCATTACATGATATTGAAGTCAGACAAATACACTAAAAAGCACCACAAATCTCTCCTGGACTTGGCCCTTAACCCGCTGCGTTATGACAACAAGTGACAGCATTGGGCTGATGGGGACAGAGAAAGCTCTGACACTCGTGCATACACACGCACAGTCACGGGCAGCGGCAAGGAAAGGAAGCACTGACAGCGAAATTGGTGCTTTGGTAAAAGAGCAGGCAGCTATTTTGGGATAGATCTCTCAGTTTCTTGCATAGGATATTTCAGTGCTTTGATGCTATGGTGATAAGTGCCCTAAATATATTCAAAACATGTAGGGAGAGAGAACTGAAAACAAGACATTTTAAAGCAACAGCTCTAATAAGCATCTTGTTCCCGTAGACATACCTGCCCACTGGTTTCATACTGCAACCCACTGGGCAAAATTGCCAAGTCCTCCTCACCTTCTCCACTCCTCCCCTGGCAACACCTAGGAGGAAGCATCTGGAATGCATTATTTTACTGAGGAACATCCCAAGGAAGAGGGACTAGAACTCAGACCTTTTTCTTCCAAAAGCCCAGGCTAAAGCAGAACCACCTGGAGCTTTGTCACGAGCCCTGAGCCAGGCAGTGCCCAACAAGTGGCCCTCGTCTACACGGAGAAGCCAATCATGCTGGGGAAGACATCGACTGGGTCTGTCGGGGAGCAATTCTCTAAGTGCACCAGACTAAAAACATCTGTTCCGGAGCAGTTACTCCAACCACCTTTACTCTGCAAGCAGAATCACCACACTGGGTTCTTGGAGCATGAGTAAACTTCACATTTTTTATTTCAGCTTTGGGCTGCTGACCTGAAGCACACTGCATCTTCCATGAGGATCTGCGCCAAACCCCTGTCTCTCTCTGGCTGCTGTCATCCTATTTTTATTTTTTTTAATTGGTTAGCAATGAAAAGGGAGGCATCACAGGTTGGCAGGAGGGTGGTAGCTTTACGTGGAGGTGGGTGAGCTCTTCGAGGGTTTCTGTTCTTTTTTTATATATACATATTTAACTTCCCTCCTGTCTTCCCACCCTCCAGACTCTCTTCAGCCCATGTCCCCAGTGAAGAGAGGTTAGACATCAGCAGTGGGACCCCGTTTTGTCATTCCCGAGTTGGCCAGGAGGGCTCACGGGGGAAGGCCACCCCATTCCCCCCCAAGCCATGTCCCCCCTCTGCAGCACTCTCAATGGTACGGAGAGGCTGGTCCGCGCCCTGGCCCTGCTGAA